CCCCGAGAGACCCCCATGCGATCCCAACGAACATCCAATTGGTTTTTTACCCACAACCCAGGAACGGTGGTGGGCCGGGTCGAAGGCCATTAGATAAATCCCACCAGCCCTCTGGGCGCAGGTGGTCTAACGATGTCTGTTTTTCCTCTTCCACAAAACCGCTCGTCCCCTTCGGGGAGGGGTTTATCACTGCTCCCTATTAATAAACACCCCCTCCCCCAGGCGACCGGTAGCCAATCCAGAACCGTGCGGGCACCCCCCCACCATCCCTATGCAAAAAAACATACTACACAAACTATAAAAAAATGCCTTCAAATTCGAAGCATGCGCAGCCAACCCGACGCGGCCTTCCCCCATCATCCTTGTCAAAAAAACAATACAAAGTACACTTGGCGGCGGTGGCGGCGGCGGCTGCGACGGCTGCGGCGGTGGCGGCGGCTGCGGCGGCGGCGGCGGCGGTGGCGGCGGCGGCGGCGGCGGCGGCAGCGGCAGCGGGGCGGCAGCGGCTGCAGCGGCGGCGATTTGGCACCGGTGGCGGCGGCGGCGGTGGCGGCGGCGGCGGCGGCGGTGGCGGCAGCGGCTGCGGCGGCAGCGGCGGCGGCGGCGATTTGGCACCGGGGGCGGCGGCGGCGGCGGCGGCGGCGGCGGCGGATCAGCCCCCAGTAGCTGCCCATCCAAAGACGACTGCTGAATATGGTAAAGCTCGGGCCAGACTCGGGTGCCACGTATGTGTTGGGAAGGCGGGTGGGGGTGAGCGAGACGGCTTGCCGGCGGGGAAAGGGTCTTGATCACTGTTCCGTATTAATAAACACCCCCTCCCCCAGGCGACTGGGAGCCAACCCGAAACAATGAGGGCCCCCCCACACCATCCCTTGCAATAAACCATACAAAACACACTCTGCCTACAGATTCGGAGCATGCGCAACCAACCCGATGCGGCCTCCCCCCACCATTTCTGTCAAAAAATACAAAGTAGTACACTTGGCGGCGCCGGCGGCTGCGGCGGGGGTAGCGGCTGCGGCAGCTGCGGCGGTGCGGCGGCGGCGGCGGCGGCGGCGGGGGCGGCGGCGTCGGCGCGGCGCGGCGGCGGCGGCGGTGGCGGCGGCGGCGGCGGCGGCAGCGGTGGCGGCAGCGGCTGCGGCGGCAGCGGCTGTGGCGGCGGCGATTCGGCATCGGGGCGGCGGCGGCGGCGGCGGCGGCGGACGCGCGGCGGCGGCGGCGGGATTGGCCCCCAGTACCTGCCCATCCAAAGGCGACTGCTGAATATGCTGAGGCTCGGGCCAGGCTCGGGTGCTACGTATGTGTTGGGAGGGCGGGTGGGAGTGACCGAGACGGCTTGCGGGCGGGGAGGGTCTCTTGATCACTAGTAGCCAACCAGGAACCATGAGGGCACCCCCCCACCACCATCCCTTGCACAAAACCATACAAAACACACTCTGCCTACAACTTCGGGGCATGCGCAGCCAACCCGACGCGGCCTCACCTCACCATCCCTGTCAAAAAGCAATACAGAGTACACTTGGCGGCGGCGGCGGCGGCGGCGGACGCGGCGGCGGCGGTGGCGGAGTGGCCCCCAGTACATGCCCATCCAAAGGCGACTGCTGAATATGCTGAAGCTCGGGCCAAAGTCGGGTGTTCCGTATGTGTTGGGAGGGCGGGTGGGAGTGAGCGAAACGGCTTGCGGGCGGGGCGGGAGTCTTGATCACTGTTCCCTATTAATAAACACCCCCTCCCCCAGGCGACAGGGGGCCAACCCGAGTCCATGCCGACACCCCCCCCCACCATCCCTTGTAAAAAACAATACAAAACACAATCTGCCTCGAAATTCGGAACATGCGCAGCCAACCCGATGCGCCCCCCCACACCATCCCTGTCAAAAAAAACGATACAGAGTACACTTGGCGGCGGCGGCTGCGGCGGCGGCGGCGGCTGCGGCGGCTGCGGCGGCGGCGGCGGCGGCGGCGGCGGGGGCGGCGGCGGCGGCGGAGGCAGCGGCGGCGGCGGCGGATTGGCCCCCAGTAGCTCCCCATCCCAAGACGACTGCTGAATATGCTGAAGCTCGGGCCAGACTCGGGTGCTACGTATGTGTTGGCAGGGCGGGTGGGAGTGACCGAGACGGCTTGCGGGCGGGGAGGGGGTAATTTGACCCCTCCCCCTACCCCCTCCCCTGGCCTTTTTCGGCGGTGGTCGCGGGTCGTTTGAGGGCCCTTTTTCGGCCCCTGGGAGGGCCAATGTTTGACACCCCTCACAAGGATCGTGGCCCCCAGGGGGGGGCCTAGATCGGGAGATCCCCTCCTTTTGATCGATAGCCTCGAATATGGCCCCAAGAGGCGCTCCAGGGCTCCCAAGAGAGCCCCAAGAGAGCCCCGAGAGGGCTCCAAGAGGGTCCCAAGAGGGCCCCAAGAGGCACCCGAGTGGCCCCCAAGAGGCCCCCGAGCGGCCTCAGAGAGCCCAAGATGACCTCCAAGATAGCTCAAATAACCGGAGCTGGCTCAATGTGGCTCCCAAGATGCTCCAAACGGCCCCAAGACCGCTCCAAGAGCGCCCAAGAGTGCTCCAAGAGAGCCCAAAGAAGCTGGTTGCCGGCTCCTGAGGGGGGAGCTGAGTTGGGGACCCCCCCATGATGTAATCGATGGCCTCCAAGATGATCCCAAAAAGCGCTCCATGGTTACCAAGAGGGTTCCAAGAGAGCCCCCAGAACTCCCAGAGAGCACCAGCAGCAGCAGCAGCAGCAGCAGCAGCAGCAGCCGCAAGAATACCTCTAGATGGTCCCATGAGTCATCGCCCGCGTCGTCCTCATCCTATTCCTTGTCCTCGTCCTCGTCCTCATCCGCGCCCTCGTCCTCCTCGTTCTCCTCGTCCTCCCGAGCTGGAGAAGGATGTGCTGCAGAAGGCCCAGGCTGTGGTGCAGGCCGAGAATGCCGTGGCCGCCATCCAGTCGGAGGGGGCCCCCAAGGCGAACCTGTTGCACGATATCCTGTCCATGCCCCCAGACGCGTTGGCTGCGGAGTCCCTGGCAGACCTCGACAGCGCGCTGAACGTAGACGAGGATGAATTAGACGAGCAGTCAGTGAGGCAGGTGCAAGCGGCGAAGGCCACGATGCTCAAAGAGTTCAAGGACCGCACCGAGGGCTTCGTCACGCAGCTCCGCGCCCACGTGGAGCAGGCAAAGGCCAAAGCGGAGGTGGCGAAGACGGAGGCCACACAGGCCGCCAAGAAGCGCAAGGCCGACGGCGGGGCCACAGCGCAGCCGCCGCCAGCCGCCGCGCCTGCCACAGGCGGCACGCAGCCGCCCGCCCCAGCCGCCGAGCCGCCTGCGGCCCCCACTGACGGGGCTGCCGCGGCTGCTGCGGCCAAGGCGAAGGCAGAGGCAGCGGCGCGCCAGGTCGCCGCACAGAAGGCAGCCAAGGCGAAGGTGCTGGAGCAGGCGAGGGCGCAGGCAGGGGCGACGGCGCCCACGCCTGGCGGCGCCTCCGCCTGACGGCCCAGGGGACCTGGTCGAGCCACGACAGCCGATGCCAACCCTCGGTCGACCAGGCAGATCTTTATCGGCAATATCAACACTTGGGGGAAGTCTGCTAACAAGTTCGTCAGGGAGTCGATGCTCACAGACTCATACGACGCTTACCTGTTGCAGGAAACTCACGTCCGCTATGAGGGCATAGAGACCGCGGAGAAGGAGTTGCGAGGCTGGGGCCTCAAAGCCGCCTTTTCCGCCGCTAGACCCAGTGAGTCTTCGAAGCAAGGCTCGAGGGGAGGAGTAGTCACGGCGATACGCAGTCGCCACCAGTCGTCGTGCCACCGTGAGCTTGCACAGCCGCGAGCAGCCTCACAAGCCACGGCCACAGCAAACTTTGTAGATAGTTGCCGCATTTTTAGTTTTTGTAACTGGATGCCGACCACGTGGCACCTCAAAGGGATAAGCATTAACCTAGTGAGCCTGTACTTAGAGGGTACGAACAGTTTCAATGGGAGCAATGCTGCTACTTTGTCGTCCATGGGGGCGTTCCTTAGGTCTTGTAAGCTCCCCTGGATAGTGGCTGGAGATATGAACGCGTCTCCAGAACAATTTTGGAAGTCAGGCTGGCCACAGAAGCTTGGAGCACAGATTGTCACCATACCAGACGGTTTCACGTGTTTCAAGGCGGATGCCCAGCCATCGCTCATAGATTATGTGCTGATGAGTCACGATGCGATCCCCTATTTTG